TTCAGAATGTATCATTTTTTCATACTTCATTACAGTGTCCTGAATGTGTTTTTCTGATACATCTATTTTATTTCCTATTCCTCTAATATAGAGACCAAAATTGTAAAATGCTTACTGGGTGTATTAACACTACTCTTTAAGTCTTAGTATCTTTCAGGAAAAGGATAATTTTCTTATTCTGCGGAGGGGAAGACTATGGTACAAGTAAGTGCCAGTAGAGAAGCATCCTTCATCAGTCCTAGATAGAGTTCAATCTCTGAAAAGTACCACAGTCAGCAAAGATGAGATCAGACAAAAAGGGACTTGGAAAAAATACCAAAGCAAATATAAACCTTTCCAGATTGTATCTTCTTCTCAGACACATCCCTTCTCCTGGTAAGTTGTCTTTAAAGCCACCTTCTCTGAGTTGACTTAGAAGATAATCATGTGAAGTCGTGATCTAAGAGAGAGAAGTCTATCATGGTTTTGTAGGGTTCAGTCTCTACTCTTAGTGAAAAGTCAACCTGGCCCTTATTCGATTGAAAATGTGTTTTGCAGTAACATCTCCCCTTACTTCATTTTCTCAGGCCTCATAAAATGCTTCTGTGACTTCCTGGCTTTATACACATTGTGACTGAGGTCACAAGTATCCTTTCCTGGATTAGCATTCTACCAATTTACTGAGGAGTGGGCTATAGTCAGTCCCTAGCTCCAACCCCTCTCTGGAAGGCCCCCTCATCAACCAGGTTTACACAAAGACCAAGCATTAACTGGTGATAAATTCATATGTTTAAAGCATCCACACACTCTTAAGAGTTACCTATCTTTAAAGTCATCCAGCTGCATATGAATTGCATTACCTCCCATCTTCAGTTGCAGCATGGAGATTAATTCAGGGTTGCAGTGCTCACTGTTTAATAACTGCATTGTAAAATATGTGACTGCAGGCCATCTTCCTCCCTATTCCTGCCTGTGTCATTATGAAAGTGATAATGTATGGAAGGTCTGAGTTTCACTGAATGTTGGGTATAAGTCACCAGGGAAAATTAAGGGAAACCTTTGTCACTTGTCAGCGTTCATTCATGCACAACCCCAGGTACAGATTCTATCTTGTGAGGAGCTAGTTTGGGTGAGTGCGCACACTGCCATGCTGTGGGAACTTAGTGTTCACATCAAAATGAGTAAGTGAAAAGAGGGTGTTAATGTGGTCCAACAGGTGCGTCGATGTTACTCTTCAAGAAGGGTGATACAAGTACTCTTATAAAACTTTCCTTTGTCCAATTTATTTCAGTACATCTTTAATGAACTGTTATGTTGTAACATAACACAGATGTAAAAATAGGATGTAATTACATAACCCTGACCATGCTCTGAATCTTGAAGCTCAGCACCGTAGGCTTAAGGTACGATGAGTCTAAAGTTTCCCTGTTCATGCGGTAGATGTCTTCTCTGTCTTCTCCAGTTTCCAGTTCTTTCCAGGGTGCCGCCGAAAATGTATTAGACATTCTGTAACTATTTTTGATGAATGAATGAGTTTACAAATTCTACTATTTACTGAATCCATACTCTTGCTAGTTGTTCTCCATGTGAGCTTCAAGGACTCAGATTTTGGCTTCATTCTTCTGCTGGCTTTGTACACCTGCCTGGAACCCTCTGAAGTGCCCTGATTGATCAGCTACCTCTTCACAGCCTCTGACCCTTGAGGTTTTACTCTGTCCACTGTGGACCTCTTCCTGTAAAATGGAGTATTTATGATGGAGGTGCTCCATTTGAGTTTGAATTCTATTCACAGTGTGCATCTGTGTCACTGATGTCTCCCAATGCAGTTTGGATTTGCTGGGTACGGGGTGTACCATCTGGGTTTTAAGGAATGTGCAGGTGTCTGCCCTGTAGACCTGTCACAGAGTGAGGACAGTTCCTCCTCTTCTGGTTTGTCATTTCTGCTAGAGCATGCAGTGGATGCCCCAGCCCTCTGAGGTACAAGCAGCAAAAGATGGAACAAGGACAAGAGTAAGGAATTGGAGAGAAACAGATTTTGATTTTCTATAAGGAAGATATTTTAATAGACTTACCAGATTACCAAAAAAGTTCCAATATGGATCGCATGAGTTCCAGAAGAACAGTAAAATAAAGTCCCACATTCATAAAAAGATTCATGTATACAATATTCAGAGCAAAGTGTTCCTTTCCTTCAGCCCACATTTGAAAGGGTGTGACAGATTCTTTTCTCTTCAAATTTTAAAGGATTTAACTGCATTAGCCTTACAACCTCAAGATAATACTACATTAAGAAAATACTATAATACTACATTATGAAAGCCTTACAACCTCAATGGTTTTACTTTCAGTGTAAAAAATGGTTAATTTTCATACAGTAAACAGAAGTTTAGATAAATAGCACACTACAAAAAGTGTACATGCTATTAAAATTATCCCCAGTTAAGAACCTGAGCTCTAAGTAAACAAGCAGTAATACTTCAGGCAATTTTCTTTACCTCCCAGAAGATAAAAATTTCATCTACAAATAAGGATAAGAAAATTATCTTGTTTGTATATACACATATTTGGTATATCTACATATATTCAGTATGCATACTATATAATATTTTTGTGAAATACATATACACTTGGGTAATTTCTGTATATCTTAAAATACAGATTGTTTCTTTCCAACGGGTGTCTTGTAGCACATGTACCTGGTCATAATGTGTGTGTCTTACTGCACAGATGTAACCTGTAGTCTATGGGATGACTCTTTCTATGACCTCCTTTGTTACAGTATTCTTTGCGGAGGACCATATAGATCAGGAAGTAAGGCTGAGAGCACTGACTGTGTCTCCCCTACATGGATGGTAAATGGAACAGTCAGTACTGGCATCGAGGCCGTCATGACACTAGATCCACCTTTTGAATTTCTAAGCAATGCTGCTAAGCTGTGTCTCCCCTTTATGGAATCCACCATCATTTTCCTATCAGTCATAGCGCCTGCAAAACTCTGGTCTCCATCTGTTGATGACACTATGAGCGATGCTGTTTAGTTTACCTTTCCCATTCCACGGACACCATTTGCTTCAAAATACTCACGCTAGGGAGCTAAAAATTAGTTGGTTAAAGATAATCAAAGCAACCCTATATGCGTAACACAGATCTAATCAAGATAAAATGTATTAAAAAATTTCCAACACTTTTAATGAGAGAGTAATTTAAAGTGAATAGATGTTTGCTATGTCTTTCTCCACCCAGGGAATACACATTTTTTCCTGTGTTTGGAAGGTGACTCTGGATGGAAGCCACATCTCCTGGCCTGATGAATGAATGTGTTACTTTGAAAAGACAGGGTTGTGAGGTTATGAATTTTTTCTTTTACTATCTTCCCTTATTGATTTATGTGGTACTTGTGAGGTATCCAGAAATATCCCTGAAAATTTTAGCATAAATTCAAAACTGGGAGAAGAAAACTGATTTTAAATGCTAACTACTTAAGTCATTTCTCTAGTGAAATCTTTAATGGTGAAATAATTACACTGTCAGTTTTATTTTGGTCAAATCCTGACCTTCACATGTCTGATTGGACTCCTCTCCATAGAGTTATCTGTGAAATTGTACAGAGACTTCACTAAGTTACCTCCTCAACACTGCTGCATTCCATAGACTTTTGTGAAGCAAAAATAAGCCAGTGAACATGGGCCATGTGAGTTTCTGCATCCCAGTGTCTGTGTGAAACATAATGGGGACAGATGACCTGAACCCAAGTCACTCCAGGGCTCTGCGGATGAACTTCCTTTCCATCCCAGAGTAAGTGGGCAGAAGCTGGATGTGAAGACCTTAGACTGGCAGTTTCAAACCTCTCAGGGGAATTGACCTTCTTACACTTCTTTGCTTCTTTGGGTCTGAGTGTTCTCACTGGGAAAACAGCGGTAAAATGTTTGCCCTTCACACATTAAGACTTTATCAGAATCAAATGAACAATGATATGCAAAGACATTTCATAAAAGCACAAAGTGCTTCATGAACGTAAGTTTTTTCATAGTAATTCTAATTCAAGGTGTGAGGCCTTCAAAATTTTTTCCAGGCAAGTTTGCAGGATGAATCCTGTTTTTTGAAGCTCTGTCATCGTCTCCTGGATGCATCTGCAGCAAAGATGAGTCATGAGATCACTGCTGTATTATAATATTCATCAGAGAAATAGCAGCATTTGCAACATCTACTATAAATACTCATCCGCTGGGGAACCTAGAACAAATCAGCACATAGCTCTGAATGGGAGTCACTCCTGGGCAGTGCTTGCCCTTTCTTCCTGCCTATATTAATCCTGGTCTTTCTTGCATGTTTCTCTAGCTCTTCCTGTTCCTCATGGTCTTGGCTGGCATTCTATATGAAGACACTGGCTTAATAGCAGTGTCTTACTTTGTAATTTTGTTAAGCTGCCCTGCCATTAAAATACTCTTTGCCACATTTTCAGAAAGACTAAGTAAGTAGTTTAATAACCTGAGAAATATTAAGCATTCAACAAATGTCTACTATTCACCTAAACTGAATAAGAAAGGAATGAGAAATCTCTTGATATTGATGTCATCATATCCTATGCCATTCTCCTTGCTTAGAAACTTCAGAGTTTTTCCCCAGAGGAGAGAAATGGAAAGATCACAATTTTGGCTACTGCCGTTTTGTATGAATTAAAATCTGGGTTATAAATTAATTAGTTGTCAACGTTTAAAAATGTGAAGATATAAAAATCCAGCTTTTTGACTTCTCTTAAAATGTCAGGCCACGAAGCAACACTGGTTCCTCCACAGCAAGATCAGCAGCAACCGAGGAGCAGTTGGCAACCGCAGAAGTGCAAGCTGTGTTCAGTGCACCCGGCTTCTCGCCTATGTCATTGTGTTTATTTACATCACATGTCTGGCCCCAGTAGGATGTGAAATTGTGACCCTTGTCCAACCCATAGAACTCATTAAATCCTATCTCATAACCAGTTAGTCATGGGTGAAATCATGGACAGATGGCTTGGCGAGAACATATGTTGTTGATCTGTTTCTTTTATTTCGTTAACCATTTTGCCAGCATTCTACACAGTCTAATCATATGTCACAAACCATAACTGGAGCATCAGTTTATAAGGGGGTTATCTAGAGTTGCATTGAACTGTTTATCCTTAAATGTCAAGTGAAAGCTGCTTTGAGGTTTGATCTGCCACTCAAAGTAAGATTTTTACCAACTTAGGAAATGTGAATTCTCTACATGTTCCAGGCTCCATGCCTGACACAGTCCTGTGCTGTCAAAGCAGTGCAAAGGGTATCTCCAGCATGGGTATTTTACAACCTAAGACCATAGATGGGTCCCACATCAGTGATATAGGTATTAGAGGCAGCAAGGAGGAGCTTGGAGCCTTGATGGTGGCAGCAAGTTGAAATTTCTAGAATTTTCTGAAGGCTTCTCAATGCCCTTTCTGCTATCTCTAAGTTTGAGGGGAGGAAAGTCCACATGAATAAAAATTTGATGAGGAAAAATGGAGTCATGTTGACAGCAGAAGGCAACTTAGCCAGAGGAGTATGAATTATATTGTTTGGAAACACACACGGTTTGCTTTTCTATTTCAATTTCCAGAATTCCTTATCCCAGACAGTTAAAAATCTAGGGTCCTGGGAAAAAGGTGTGGGTCTCCAAAATGGAGCCCAAGGAGCCTGCCTGGTTTACTTTTTGGAAGGTTTTAGATCAACAGCACAAAAAATTGCTATGATTCCTCATGGTCTGTAACAGGTCAGTAAGCTTGAAGTTTCTTACAGTAACACTGTGCTGAAACATTTCCATGTCTCTACAAACAAGGGGAACTTTCAAATGTGGCCATAGCCATGTGAGTGAGTGGTCTAATCATGGAGTGCAAAGGTAGGAAATACTTTACTATTCCTCACAGAAGGCCACTTATACGTCTGAATTTGAGCAAGGGCTGGGAAGCCTAGTCAACACTGACCAACCTAACCATCACCAAGCAACTATTCATGCATCTGCAGTGGATGGGGCCATAGGGAGAAATGGTAAAAGAAGAATCCCAAAAAACATTTCATGGGAGACACAGGCAAATACCTTCTGCCCAAATAGTAATTTGAACTCTCTTTCTCAGGGCCCACGGCACCTGCTGAGCTTTTGGGTCAGTAATACATCATTAATAGTGTCAGAATTGGCACCAAGAGCATGCTGTGAAGATGCCAAACCCCCAAGTAGTATTTCTCATTTGAGTCAGAGTGAATTCAGTGTAATTAGGAAGACAGAGATGGATACAGATAACTGCAGTGCTAGTCACAAGGAAGTAACAAATGTGTGGCAGGAGGGAAGTTACTTTTTCTTCTTGACAAACTCGCAGATGAAGTACATGCTAAGATGGCACTCGGTGTCATTCCATCGGCCTGAGCTCAGCATCTCCACGCAGTCCTCGTGCCCATAGGGGTCACTGGGCTCCCCCTCTTGCCAGTTGCTGTAGTTCTGCAGTGGGGTGCTGTCTGTGAACACATACTGCCCCTCCTTCTCAAGGTCATTCACCCCAATGAACACGCGGAAGAAGCCACTCTTGGCCACGTAGTCAGCGATGAGGGTGTTGATGGCTTCGTCTTTTGGCATGGCTAGCATTCCACCCCGAATCCTGCAATGGGTCAGGGACTCCCTGTAGTTCTTCTCCTCCTGCACAATGTAGTAGAACTTTTCTTCAGTTTCTCTAATCCCTGCTATGACTGCAGGGAGGAAAAGAAGAGCATCATTATGCATCTTTAAAAGGGAAGATAGATGTATCATTGCCAGATTGAAATTCATGCATTCACCATCCACAAATTATCTTGCAAGGCCCTGTCAAGAGGTAGTCATTGGCTTGACTTTTTCTTTGCCTTTCTAGTTACTATGAAGAGAACTAAAGTCTTCTGTTGGTCCCCCCACCTTCCTGCTCAGTTCCTGACACAGCTGTCCAGCTAGGTTGACAAAGACTGGTCACTCAAACTGTCACCCACTTATCCCATACCACTCTTCCCAGCCTCATTTATGTCTTAGCTATACTTGTTCTTCTCTTTGCCACATCTATCCCTGGTAAGTCACCTTAATACTTCTCTACCTGTCAAACTCCTACTTGCCTTTGAGATCTCAGTAGAAATGATTTCTCCTGTAAGAAGTCTTTCAAGTCCCTGCACAGACAGTGGTGCCTGTGGATTCTTGCCTCCATCTATACTGCCCTTTCCTCTTCTTCTACAGCATTCAGCACATTCCACTCCAGTGGTTTATTTGTGAGTCTTTTCTACTCAGCTTGAGGACATTGTTTATGTCTGTGATGCTCTTGAGCATATGTGCTGCCAAAGGGAGCTCTCTTTGATGCTCTTTAATCCCAGTGACTGGAACATTCCAGGAGATAGCAGATATTTATTGAACTGATACTGTAATAATGCACAAGTGTGTCCACTTGAAATCAAATATCTGGTACATGAACTTATACCCTGAGATTGTCCATATTTCTTCTCAGCTACAAGAGGGAGACTGAGTTACTACCTGAGTTTCAGGACAGAACTAGGGACTTAGAGTGATTCTGAGTTCATAAAATGGAACGTAAATTAGAGTCTTAAATTAGAGTCTAAGAACTAGGGACTTAGAGTCATTCTGGGTTCAATAAATGGAATGTAAATGCCAAGTTACCTTGGCATTAAAGACCAATTAAAGACCAAGGTATGTTGGCATTTAGAGGTATCTACATATATACCTTACCTTAGAGTTCATAACTTTCATTCACAAATAAATCTATGACCACTATGACTTTAAGAACTATTCATCTATGACATACCTTTGGGGTTTGGTTCATTCATGATGGTTGAAGTTATGTCAGACATAGAATCTTTACTATGGGATACAACCAGAACTGTTATTAAGGTGACTATTTAACATCAAATATTTCCTATGTGTCTAGTATTACAAGATGGCACCTGAATGCTTCTAATAACGTGCAGTACAAATACCTGGAATATGATAAATAAAATACAAAAGCTTGAAATCTTGAGATCATGTCAAGTGAGATAAATCAGACACACGTGCTTAAATATTACATGGTTTCTTGTATGTGAGAAGTCCAAAACATAAATAAAGAGCAAAATAAAAGATAGATAATAGGAAACAGATCTTTTTCAAGGAGAGAGGACCAAGAGAAGGAGGGAGGGGAAAGGAGGGAAAGGGCATGGGACATAAAAAGGATGAAGGTGTGTTAAATGCATGGACCCACTTCTAAGGAGGAGTGTGATCACTGTGTGCTGCAAATATGGACTGGTAAAAAGTAATATTTGAGGAAAAAATTTTAAAAAACCATGAAACCAGTTGCAACTGTTAACTGTAATAATTCCCTCAGTAACGTAGTTCTCAGAAAAGAATACATAAGCCCTTTCCACTTTAAAAGAACTATTGTTAATAAGGAGATGGAAGAGGGATATAAAGTGATCACTGGAGGAAGTTACAAAACCTTAGAGAAATGCATAAGGTTTGTACCGATTTGTACTATGGGGGAGGAGTCAGGAAAGCTTGCACTCAGAGTCTCTGCTTTACTGCCTATTATGTCTGTAACTATGGGAAAGACTTCTCTAAGCTTCAGTTTAATCACTGCACTTACATTACAATTACATAAAGACTCCGGGCCTTGATGCTAATAGTCCTGCACTGTCTCCACTACTCGAGAAAGTAGCTATGTTATTACTTCTACTTTCTGAGGTGCTGTTTCTATTTGACTCTTGCTATCCCTTTTTATTCTTAAGACACAGCTTGTCACATTCTACTTTTTTCTCCTCTCCTAGGGGAAACTCTTTACCTATTGATAGCTAGGCACATATGCACGAATTCATGGAGTGGACTTGAATTGTCCTGGGTTTTGGGTGGATGATTAGCATGTTGAGTAGCCCTGAAACTGGTGATACCATCCCAGTAGGTCTTTTCCCAATACAAGGTGTTGTCTAGGAAATACAGTGGTGAAAGAGATGAAATAGGTAGACATAAGGTATTGGGCAACAAGCAAAAGAGACAATGTTCACCATTCTTGACAAATTTCATAGATGTCTTGAGCCGGGCGACACTGATATCCAGTTGTCCAACAACTTTCCGGTATCTTCCGCAGTCACAGACAGTACCTTATAAATGACAGAAACTGTGAGTTCAAGGTTGAGGTAGGTGCACACCAGCTGGAAGAGCATCTTCTGCCTTCTCAGCATTTACAGTGCTGTCTTTTTCTAGTCTGAAGAAGGCTTTCTGTGAGTGACTATGCATTTGACCTTTTATTTAAAACAAACTTCCCAATTTATAAGATGTTTAGAAATTCAGAAAAATATCTTTTTAAATGTTAGGAATGAGTAAGAAACAATGCTAAACTAGATTTTTACAAAGAAGAATAAATATGACACCCCACTGCACACACATTGTGACGCATTTGGCATTTGGTTGAACACAGAACTTGTCCGCTCCCTCTCAGAATAACATTTTTACAGCTCCCTTAGAATGTATTTGCAGCAGGCCTCTCTTCTGTTACTGCATTATTCAGTAGCTCACACAGCTCTCCCAAGATAGGAGAAACTTCAGAATTCAATAGAATGCTAATTCTGATTATCCCCGGGAAGTAGACTTGCATGCTTCAAGGGCTACATTTATTTCCTGCAAAGAGAACCAACTTAGAGTTTCAAAAGCTAGCTGTCCCATTTGTGGATTAACCATGATTTTAATTTGTTATTTTAAATATGTTATTTAATTTGTTGATTTTAATTTCTTTTCTCACCTACATTTTCAACTGTATACTGATATTATTATGAGAGAGAAGCAATTACAAGGAAAGTGATATAAAATTCAGATGATTCCCTTTTAAAATTTAATGGCTGTTTTACATAAACATTACTTTTGGCTTTTTTCTTGGTAGCATGAAAAATAAAAATAATTTTATTAGCGAAAAGAAAAAAGTCTGTGGCTGAATTGTATCCATATTTGTAGGTAAATAGAGGCATGTGGAGAAGTACTTTGAATTCATCTTGCATATTTCTGCACGAGTAGAAACAACTGAACCACATCAAGAATACTTTACCTTCTTTCCTTGCATAAGATACTGAACATATAACTCAGTTAGTACCCAGGGGCACCTGCCTGGCCACTGAGAGGTCATTCTGTCACTAAGGGTCTCTGTGGATCAGCTTGCTGCTGGTAGCTTGAAGGTTGAGGTTTGGTTGGGATGCTAATGGAACACCAGGCATGGCATGCTGACCCAAGCTCTGCTTCAGATTTTCCTCTTGGGTTCCAGGAATGATGGGTCACTTCTGTACTGGGCTCTCTTTCAATAGCAAATAGGACAGGAATGGAATTGGAATGTATCTCCTCTCCTTCCCCAGGGCTTGGAAAATCACCAGCAAATGGAGAGGAAAGTTTCTCTTTCCTCTGGCCCAGGAAAAAGAAGGCTAGGCATACCGTTTTGTGAAAGAACAAAGAGCTTTGTTCTGTAAAAACTATTTATTGTTGAGATGAACAAAGGTGGAATGATGCTAGAAATCAAAGCAAAAAGTAAGCATGTCATACCTGCCTTGCCTTTCACTCCTGGTATCCCAAGCAAACCCTTCTCTCCTTTGTCACCTGAAGAAAAACAATAGAAGCAACAACAAAAATGCACAATGAAATAAAAAGATGAATTATTTTAGGCAGACAATATTCTATACATCCAAAATCAGAGGAAACATTTTTCCAAATTTCATTTCCAATATGCCCAATGAATATCCCTTCATTTTATACAAATAATATTCTTTGGAGTTGCCTGCACAGGTATAAATAATCAAGTGAGTTATAATTTATTTAGATTTATATAGAATTCTAGCAGGATGTATAAGGAACATCTCAATGCTCCTTTTCCCACTAGCATTTTTTTTATAATGTGGTCTTTTGAACAAGGCTAAAACATTTCTCAGCATATTTTAATTTTAAAAATACCATTGCTTAGTAAATCTGGATTTGTTGGTTGGTACATTACAGGGTCTGTGTATTTATTATGTACCAAGTTATTCTATGTGGCTGTGCCCTTGGATTTTCAAAAAATATATATTTTTCTTTTTCAATTCAATTCAACAAATATTTACTACTTATGTAAGAAAAGAGGTTTAATATTTGGAGAGGATATACAGAGAGACAAGATTAAACCTTTAGCTTGCAGGAGTTTATAATTTTTAGGAAAGATGTGATGTAGGCAAACATCTATACTATAAAGTCATCTCAAATATACTATACTGAAATGTCAACTTTGGTAATTTTTTCTCTGCTCTTCTTTGTATTTGACCATTTTTTACTCAGTTAGAAGCATCCAAAAAATAATTCTCACAGAATCAGGATTTTTAAAACAGACAGAAAGCAAACAAAAAACCCCTTGATTTTTGTTTTGTTTTTAACTTCAAAACGAGCTCTTGAAGCCCACATCAGACACAATAATTGAAAGGAAAAGCTTTTGATTTACAAGAGAAAATGTGTGGCTGCAGTTCTTGAGGATAAAAAAGAAGACTCTGAGAGAAGTGAAATAGCCTATAATGCTTCAGTAGTGACCTGGATGTAGAATAGGAAGTTAGGAGAGAAAAACACAGGCTGATGGGCACCCAGCTGGGTGGAATATGGGGCACCTTCATAGGATTTGGGGGCAGCCAGAGAATTGGGCACATTATCCAAGAGAACAAGGGGGAGGAGAGTGGAGTTAGCCTTGAGACTCCATAGCTTCATCTTGTACCAGCAACAGAGCAAAAGGAAAACTGCTCTAAAAGCTGCAGGGTGTCCTATCTAACTCCACTGAACATATCCAGTTGCTATTTTTCTCATCACTGATGTGTTGATTTGCATTACATAGTGAAGCTTTCCTTACACATGGAGGAAGGCATGCGGCTGGGGCCTCAATGACTTCTTAAGCCTTTCTAAACTGACCCATATGGACACCTTTCTCTGGAGTGGTACCATACAGAAGGTTGCTTCTGTTGCTCCCCAGCAGAAGGAAGAAGTCTTGGAAATGCAGCATGCACTTCAAGTGTGAAAGGGCAAGACTCAGAACTTGTGCTTAGATGAAAGGAGATAGTGGGGAAGTCTATGACAACAGAGTATGACCAATGCTGTGAGGAGGACTGAACACAGATAACATACTGCTAGAGAGGAGAGATAGTGTTTCATATGGAAGAATGTACAAAGGCTGAGCAGAGGAACTTGGCCGTCAGAAGTGTCAGCAGAAGACAGGAGTGAGGGTTTGGATAACATACTGCAGAGCTACAGCTGTGAAGAAAGCAAGGAAATAAGGCTGTGCACCTTGCTGAGGAAGATTGAGTGGTTCGTATTTTACTTGTTTCCTAAGAAAACCCCATTATTTCCTTATGTGTAAATTGGAAAGGGTAAGAACAGATTTTTAGAATATATTAATGGAAGAACAGGAACATGTATTTACTAAGTGTCGATCAGTTGCTGAGTGCCATTCTGGACACTTTAGACATATTACCATATTACATCCTAAGAGTGAGGCACTATGATGATCTTAATTTTGTCAGAAAAGAAACCAAGAGACAGAAAGGCAAATAACTTGGTCAAGAACAACTAGCAATTAGATGGTGGTGTGTGTGCCATGGTTCAGATCTAGAGTCTCATGGGTTCTGAGATGGGCTTTGGAAGGTGACTGGATCATGGGGCCAGTACACTTAACAGGGGATTGATTCCTGAAAGAGTGCTTAGTTAAAGATGTCTGGTTGAAAGAGCAGGCCCGTGGTAGGTGTATTTCCCTCCTTAGCCCCTCCTTTGACTCTCTGCTTCCTGGGTACCATGAGGTGAGCAGATTTCTTCCACCACAGCCTTCCACCATGATGCTTCTGCTTTGGAGCCAGCTGACCATGGACTCAATCTCCTGAACTGTGAGCCAAGTTAAACTTCTCCTTTAAGTTGTGGGTGTCAGGTATTGTGTCCCAGCAATGGGGCAGCTGATTGGTACAGCTGCCATTCACACCCAGCCATATGTGCTCTCCAATTCATGGTGTTTCCCCAATGACTTAATGAAAGAAAGCTAAGAGTGTGAAAATGTGATCAAAATGAAATAAGCCAGGTACAGAAAGTCAAATATGGCATGATATCACTCATATGTAGAATCTAAGGCAGTCAGTCTCATAGAAGTAGAATAAAATAATGTCTGCTAGCAGCTGGAAAGGACAAAGCAAGGAGACTTTGGGAGATGTTAGAGATTACAAAGTTACAGTTATATAGGGGGAATGACATATGGTATTCTATTGTATAGTAGGGTAACTACCGTCTACCTCAAAATAGCTAAAAGAAGACTTTGAACATTTCATCAGAGAGGAACAATACACTTTGAGATTATACATATGCTGATTACTCTCACTTGATCATTACCCAATGTATATACATGTATAGAAATATAACATTGTGCCTCATCAGTCTGGGCAATTATTATGCGTCAATTAAAAATAAAATTAGGACAATTTTGAAGGGGATAGTAGTTTTATTGTTATGATTTAGACCAGCAATGTCATCCAAAATCCTCATGCACTCAGAGGCTGGGTTTTTGGAATGTGATTGGGTCATGGGGTGTTGTACTCACAGGTGGATTAATCCACAGAAGAGTTCAGAGTGAGGAAACATGCTGTTAGAAGGCAGGAGCTGGGGATGTGACCCGGGAGGGTGCACTGCCCTCCCTGTTTCTCTCTCTGTTTCCTGCCTGCCCTGATGTGAGTAGCTCTCCTCTGCCAGGTCCTTCCACCACCCTGTTTCTGCCTTGGAGCCTGATGCTGAAGGACCATAACCTTGAGCCAAAGTAAATCTTCCTCTGTTAAGCTGTGAGAGTGTTTTGTCCCAGCAGTGAGGAAATTAACTATGACCCTTATCATCACCAAAAACAATATGGACTTAAAAGATCATGATTACGGGTTTAAGTGTTAAATTTTTAAAATTTATACTTCATAGTTTGAATCCCTTTCAATTCAACCTGGATTGAACATTGATTTCAGTCCTGTTATGATCCTAGTTCTGGCTAAGGCCTACACACAAGCATAAAAGAAATACAACTAGAGAAGAGTATCCCTTCTTATCTGTGGTTTTGGTTTCCAGATTCTGTTACCTGTGGTCCAAAAGTATCAAGCAGAAAGTGCCCAAAACAAATAATTCATAAATTTTTACCTGCATGCCATTTGGAAGAGTGTGACAGGGGTCTTACGCCATCTTGCTGCATCCCTCCCCGAATGTGATCATGCCTTTGTCCCGCACTTTCATGCTGTGTATGCAATCCACCCACTCCTCAGCAGCCAGCTCAGTTGTCAGGTAGGTTGTCAGAATGCAGCAGTGCTTGCCTTCAAGTAACCTCTGTGGAGTAGCCTAACCTGACACTATAATGCCCAAGTCATTCCCCATGCTTCGTGCCATTATGTAAGCATTGTATCATCTCAAGACATCAAGCAAGATGGATAAATACAGTAAGCTAAGATACATTGAGGGAGAAATTATTATCAGTTAATTCATTTATTTAATTATTGGTTAATTTTTATTTTTATCAGTCTAGGTTTGCAGTACATTTTCTGTGTGCAGTTGGTACATGTACATAACACAACTTAATTCTTTTTCCATCTCCTTTTCCTGTCCTTTCTTCACCCTCCATCCATCTTTTGGTCCCTTTCCCTTTTGCAAAAGAGCTGTCCTTTTATTTCCTATTATGGTGGGAGCTGCTGGAGCTGCTTATTGGTCACATGTGTGAGGGCAGGACAGAACCGGAGTGCCTGAAGCAGTCAAAATACCTCAGTATTAGAAAAAGCATCCTGCCTGGACAAATATACTCGTTAGTCACTAGACAACATTACCTCTCCTGATACTAATTTTGCAACAGTATAAAATAAATGCCCCTACTGTTGAAGTCAGTCCTCTTCCCATGAGGTAAGAGGTAACTCCACCTGACCCAGCTGTTGTATCTTGTCTGTATTTTTCTTTTACACACTGCCATTTCCCTTCAGGGTACAACAAGAGACCAATGAGGTTCCCTACACTATTATCTAACTTGTATTTTGTTTTTAATTTACTTACACTGTGGGATTCTCGTATAAATGAAACCATGTGACAGTTAAGCCTGTGTGTCTGATTTATTTCAACAACATTATGGTCTCAAGGTGCATCTGTTGTCCTACCAAGTGACTCAGGTTTATCCTATGGTAGCGTAGTAATCAAACTTTATCATAGGTATATATGTAGGTAGAGAAAGCATGGTAAATATAGGGTTTAGTACCATCCATGGTTTTAGGAAGACACTGGAGGTCTTGGAATATTTCCACCAAGGATAAAGGGCTGTTGTATTTGCTTTGGGAAAATGATTTTCTTTTGTTTTTTCTTTTTTGTTGTTTTTAAGACAAGATCTCATTATGCAGTTCAGGCTGGCCTTGAACTCATTACATATCCTATGTATGGGCTCCCACTATGTGTGGGCTGGCCTCAAACTGGACATGATCCCTTGCCTCAGCCTCCTGAGTGCTGGGATTACATGTGTGGGCCTCCACACCTAGAAAAATGATGAGCTTTCAAGGAAATAAAAGTACATATACGAGAACAAGGATATCAACATGGTTGTGTAC